CTAGTGTTCCTTGAACGGCTCGCGTGGTAGATACAGTGGACCAATACGGAGACCATATCAGGGCACAGTCGCGTTATTCGGGTTGCCTTACCATAACAAAAGCCGGACACACCGGTCGGGGGTGCAGAATCAGACACCAGGCACCTTTATGGCACTCCTACTTCGTGAGGCCTGAGTCAGCCATAATGGCTCCGGTCGCCTGCGCCTGATCCCGCCCCCGGTCTTCTTGACACCTGCACAGACAGATGAAGGGAAGAGAGAGAGAGAGAGAGAGAGAGAAAGAGAGAAAGAAAGAGGGTACGGTATATAAAACGCAAGTCTCCTAACACTTAAAATGAATACATTCGTAAGTTACTGTCCCTGCACCACCATGCTGTGAAGCACACCGTGGCAGTCGTCGAATGCGACGGTCTGTACTACTGCTAAAATACACAGTGCATTTTTCTCGCAAGCAATTTGCTTAATTATACCTCGAAGGGTGCCTAAAAACCTGTCCGACAGCCTCTTATCTTCTTCCTGGCATGACCGCAGGATAACTTGCCTCAGGGGAAACCTCTGTTATGCAACGAACAACACTGACTGCGGTTAATTGATCCAATTGCCTGTCTTTGCTTAGGTCCTAGAACAGACAGATGTGAAGATATCAGAGGTGTAGCAAAAAAATAGGAGGACGATTGTTAGCACTGGCTGTTGAACTAATGACTCTGTTCAGACAGTCTTAGTTTTAGGGGGAGGGGGGGGAAGAACTATTGCGCCTGTTGATAGGCTGTGAAACGAAATGCCGGAATTGAAGCAGCTTGTGACTCACATGGTGTTTATCTCTGGGGGAGAATATCGGTTTTGTAGAACTTAAAGGTGCGGTCAGGTTCCCTCAAGAAAGTCATGTTTTGAGAGCTGGCATAGTTCCTGCCCATTACCTTTTACGCGTTTAGTGTCCAGAAAAGTCTACCTTTATTCGAGGTGGTTGCTCTGTACGCAACTACTCAGACCTTACAATAGACCAGTACAGACGTCTACCGCGATGTCAAACAGTTTGTCGGTCTCGTTATTTGGTTCCAGACGGTTGTCTCCTGTCTGTATTAAATCCGAAGGGCATGAAAAGGCTGCCTTCGACTTCTTATACATTAGTGATGCATGGGAGCACTCACGATTGCTTGGCTCCACTTTGGTTTGATCTTTCGTCTCGTTCTTCTGTGCACCAGCCGATGAATTGACACAGATGTGGCCGTTAGCCTTAAATACCATCGAAGGTATTATAGTTAAAGAATAGATGTCGTTCGCCAGGTTTTCTCGATCCTCCGAAAGTGCCTATGGATCCGACGCAACATCTGCATCGCCCCGAATATCCGTATGTACCGTGCATCTGCCTCGTCAGTCCTTCTCTGTGGATGTGAATGCTGGACTTTTTGCGTCGTAGATGAGCGAAGACTAGACCTTTGATTTTCAGTCATCGTCGTTGGAGAGGAGAATAGATGGAGCTTTCCAGACCCGCTGCGGCTAATCGTCACGCGTGGAGAGGTACCGTCCGCGACATCATTGGGGCCGCCCAAATGAGGCATGATCACAGCTGTATCAAGTGCAAGTTGGAGAACCTTGTCTTCCATTTCACTGCAGTGCGTTTGAGGACTACGCTGTGAGGGTACTCTAACGCAACTTCGTTTTTGGCTGGTTGGATAGCTGTGCTGGAAACTAGGGGCTTGTATGTTATCTCTTGCTTTCCTGAACACTGCCTTTTGGCGGCTGCAATCCTTGCGACAAATACGTACACCAAAGGAAGCCATCTAGTTGTTTTTCTCCCCACCGATTGTGAATTTTATGTCCTGGAAGACAGTGTTGAGATGTTTTTCGAATGATAACCTCTGATCTTGTTGGTTCCACTTCGATCACCGATCAAGGTATCATTCACATACTGAGCCCAGCATTTTGGTGTGTGATTTTAGAAAACCAATAATTAGACACTGTATGACCGCGACGTACCGTTCACATGTTTTTAGGTTAATATATCGGAGGTGATTGTGAATTCCGCCATATG